GTAAAATTGCAGTTGGTTGCAATCCAACCTTTATACTGTTATCTGTCGTTGGGATATATATAGACGACCCTGTGCGGCCTAACTGCAAATATCAAATGTATTTTTACAAGTTAGCAACAGCCTTTTTTGACATTGCCTCTTGAGATGTCCTCTACATTGTGACTGACAAGCACAAATATAATTCATTATACAGTATGCTTTAAAGGCCTTTTTTTTACATTTGGCTTTTACTGTTGCTTGTTTCGGAGCTGTCTTCTAGTGCTGAGATGTGCTGCCCCCGGCCTTTTTGATTTCTTTCTTAGTTTTTAATTGCTGGTCGGACATGCTAGTGGCATCTCCCAGGCAAACCCTTTCTACATCATTAGTTTTGAAACTTGGATGAATCATTGGGCTTTAACTACTATGCCTCTATTATTTTAACTTGAGTACAGCACATCTCAAAGATTTTGGCCTCTTTTTGCAGTTGTGGAAATTCATAGGATGACATTGTTGCAGGTCTTGATCCATTTGCTTTCTATTGTGAGTTTCCAGGGTTTTTTCACAATATAAACCACATTTCAAAGCATAATACTGTTGTGAACCAGCCTCCTCTCCCAGTGGTGCAGATCATTTTCTGCTTTATTGGCAGCTGAACAGAGCAATGCCATATTTATGACAAAAGTTAACAAAAATATATAAAATTAAAAATACTTCACGTAGTTTTCATTTTCTTTTAATGCAGGTTGGCAGATGAAAACAGAACACAGACAGCCACACAGGGCCATGCTGGTTTTTATGGCCCATCAGTGATAGCTCAAGAGGCCATAGTTTGGGAACTGCTGTTTCAGAAAATTCCAGCCAATCTCTTTAGGAGACCACATGTGACCCTACCACAAATTATATACTACCAGAATTGTGGCTGACAAAGAATACATATTTTTGTTTCGCCATTCTCATAACTCACTGAGAATCTAAAAGATCCAAACCATTATAGTTAAAATGGTTTAAGATAAGAAATAAAGTGGGTGCAATTTTCTTTTTTAGCTTATGCACTTCAATAAGGAAATTTTCACACAGCTGATACTGGTACAGGATGTATCAATTACTGGTCTCTGTGATGATTCTGACCCATATTAGGGATTTGACCTCATAATCTCTAGCTATAGTACTTCCTATATTCCCGTTATAAACAAAGGGGGCTTTGTCTTACCAAAGACTATGGGACTGGTCTCAAAATATTTTCTTGGGGTTCAGATGCTATGTCCATGAAAATGGGAGAGACCCAAGCAGAAATGTATTTCCACTGTAGGGGCAAAGAGGCAGAGTTAAAGAGCCACTACACACCACTACACTATTGTGCAGCAGGACACCAGGGTTTCCTAAGGAAGTACCACCCTTCTTTTTGCAAATGGGGTATACAAGCAGTTTCTCACCTGAACTTCAAGTTGTAACCCCCTTGTGTGATATTATTGCATACTTGTTACTTGTTCTGTTAGACAAAATCAAAATGCATCTGTTTAAAATCTGCACATAGTTTACAAAAATGTCTCTTTATATAGAGAGTAAGTTCAATCTGTAGTTAGCTGTTTGTCGTGTGAGAAGGATAATACCTGGATTGCTGTGAAAAGCTACTGCTTTGGAAAATACCTCAGCATTCTTGTCTTTGAACTCCCCCAAAGCTTCTGAAAGAGGACTTCAAAATACCCAGCTGCAGCCACAACTAATCAAAATAGGAAAAGGTGGGGAACCATGAGAAAGAGTCGGCATCCAGTACTTGTAGAGACAGATTTTAGGTCCTGAACTCAGATTCATCAGTACCTTATTCTGCAACTGATTTCATGTTGGTAAATCTAACAGAGTGCTCTAATTAAAGAGCAGAAGAAACCAGTTCCGTGTAATTCTTTAAAAGATCCAGAATGAGATCTCATGCATCACTTACTCGCTTTACATCCAGAGGGCTCCAACCAAGCTTGGCAGGGGCTTATAGAAAGTCTGGCGTCTGACTTTATAGGCTCTGAAGGGCTGATTTGGGCGTGATTTACCTAGGAATATAATGGGCCCCCTTAGCAACCTCCTTAACACAACAGATGTTCCTGACGTGCTGGGGGAAGAGCCATGCCATTGTGCTGTGCCCGTCTTCTCCCCTGCCCCCACTCCAAATTAGTTTGACCCCTTTCTGGTTCAGTTATTTTACATATTCCTCTGTTTTATTTTAGTATCTAAGTGGCTACACCAACCACTCACTGCCTGTCTAATTAAAGTCTATCCATCAACTGGTAATTCTGTAATAATTCACAGCTGTTTTTCCTCTCTCTGTTACATCTATTGTTCCCTGGCTGGAAAGGCTGTAAGACCTTAAAAACTATAGATAGTTATTGATTTGCTTGCATTTAAAATCCAGTATGTGGCTGCAAAGGTCTGTTACAGTGTCACAGAGGAAGATAAATGTCAGTGCATAATCTGCTAGGAAATTTCACGCAGGACTTGATTAGAAGTCTATGAGTAATCATTGCACAAGTGTCTTCTGGTGTATATATATATACACAGATATATATGTAGCTAATAAATATATAGCTAGATATATAAATATATATGTATATACAGAGCCAGTTTAAACCTAATTGTTATGAAATTAGTAAGTGGCATTCACAGTTCATGCATTCTTCCTAGTAGCAGAGCTAAATTATTTCAGCTTATACTCTAAGCAGTAACATACCAGTAAGCGTTTGCTTGCTTCCCCTGGTAACCTAGTAGTTTAAAGAGCATGAGCAGTTCCGCCATGGTCGTTTTCTCTGGAGCCCTCTGTGAAAGGGACCTGGCTCTTCCACAGGTGTGTTTCCCCCAGGTTTCACAGCATCTTCAGGACACGGTGGGGCCGGTCTGAGGGTCACTAGTCTGAAGGTCATCGGCCCGAGGGTCTCCAGCCCCAGGGTCACTGGTACAGTGGTCGCTGTCCCAAGGATTGCTGGCCCAGCTAGTCCTGCTTGCAGAGGTCTGCGACGTTGAGGAACCTCCTGACGACCACGGCCAGGCAGAGCGTCAGGAGCAGCATATACCCCACGGTGCCCAGGTAGGTGGGGGCGGCCAAGGGTGCCTTGAGGAACTCGGCCAGCCCCTCCTCCACATAGTGCACCTGGTCGTAGATGCTGAGGAAGGTGAAGATGTGGAAAAGCTGGTGGCTGTGCCCCACGATGTCGAAGAGCCCTGGCTGGATCCGCTCAGGGATTTTGCTGACGTTGAAGAAGGCGGCCACTAGCAGCCAGCAGTAGCGCCGGTAGAAGTATACGAAGAGTGTGGGGTTGCGGGTACGGAGGTCAAAGAGAAGGCTCTCCAGCATGATGGGGCAGGCCATGCTCAGCGGCATGGCGAAGACGAAGGTGCGCACGGCAAAGGGGTAGGCGCAGCAGGCAGC